TATTATTTTTATAAAATTAATACTTTTAATAATAAAAATATAAAAAATACATATAATTGTTTTTAAATATATCCTTATCGATCATTTAATTTAAAATAATAACCTATAATTATCATATAACCAAACAGTTATATTAATTGAATTTGTTGTTTATCATCTGTTATCCGCCATCCGTTATCCGTCATCCACTATTTGTTATCTATTATCCACTAACTGTTACCTACTACCGCTATCATTTATACGTTACTCATTATCTGTTATCCACTTAATTCTAATTGTTATACCAAATAGGCTCAAAAAAATGGCCAAGTTCCTTTGCTTCCATCTTTTCTCTATTCTCATCATCTTCATAGTTTTCTGTTCAGGTACTTGTGCCAAACAAATTTTCATTTTCTATCATCATATGCGTCGGATTCATATCCGAAAAAACAAATATATATAGACACACACATATATATGGGACAATTCAGAGATAATATTGTACTTTTGGTTGTTTTAGTTAGGAGACCAATTAATATATCTTCTGTTCTTCTTTCTGAATGTAGAAATGGTAAAGGGAAAGTTGTGTGAAGAAAATCTTGGACCTTTTACCCATGATTGCAATGATATTTGTTTGTCCAAGCATCCAGACGGTCGGGGTATATTCGATTAATCATCTTCCAATTCATGCATTTGCATGTATCATTGTGGCGATAGAGCCCTAGCAACTGAAGAGCTGGAACAAGTCTTTTGTAACATTGAAATATTAGGTTCATGCGATGATAGGTGTGATGAGAAATGTTGCAGCGAACGTCGTACAAACAAACGACTTAATGGTCATGGAATTTGCGATGGAGCAGGCACAACATTGCAATGTCTTTGTGGATTTAATTGTTAGAAATTATATCTTCAGTGATGGAATAAATTACAATCAGTGCAGATAATAAAGACTCTTTTTTCTCTTTTTGCGATCATATAAAACAATACAAGACTGAGACTTTCGTTTTCTTTTATATTGATTGCATGTTGTAATTAAATTTAGATCCAAAATAGTACTCATTTCATTTCATTTTAGCTTAAGAAATTACATTGGAAAATAGACTTCTAGCTCATGAATTTTTAAGACCAATCTTTCAACGTGGAGTTTATAAGTTCTATCAAAAAAAGGAAAAAGTTAAATAAGCCATTGTTAAGTACTGAATTTGTGACTTTGCACTTGAGTCGTAGATATATCAATTTATAGGTATTAAAGAGATCAAATCACAAGATTATTGATCTTACTATAAAAAGAAGAAAGAAAATAATCAAATCATATAATGATTAATTTATTTATAGAAGAAAGAAACATCACACCATTATAAAGATTGATCAACTAAGGAGAACTTATGTTATGT